TTTTTTTTTTTTGGTTGCAGCCATCATTGTTGTTTGGTGGTCCAGGCTGGGGATTTGAACCCGCCACCTTAGGTGTACGTGTCTGGCGCCTTAGCCGGTTGAGCTACAGGCGCCGAGCCAAGAGGGGGCTTATTTTCTAATTGACATTAATCTACTTAATAAGGTATAGAGATGGATATTTTAAAGTTTATTATATTTACCTATTTTTTCCCCCTTTAACCTAATGCAAGAAACAGTTGCCCAATTCTGGGGTACAAGATGATGAAAAGCAGCTTTGTCTGCTGGGCCAGGGAGATTAGAGAGCTAAGTGAGAGGGAGCCCAAGCCAGGGAGGGAAAGCAGTTCAGACGCTGGTGGGAGGCGGGCCTGGAGGTGTCGCTTAGCAGAGCTTCAGTGGATAGAAGACTGAGGACAAATGGTTAAATTTGCCATAGGAGAAGCCATCGACAGCTCGCAGGGTTTGTGGGGTTGGAGGTGGATTTGGGAAGGCCAAGGTGCGAATGTGAAGGCTGGGAAATCCCCCATGGCCCACCAAGGCTGAAAGCTGAGAAGTCTGCTTCTCTCTTGAGAAGTGTGGAGGCAAAGAGCTGGAAACAAATTGAAGGGTTGCCTATGAACACAACAGTTCTTAGAAACCAAGAGAGATGTGAGCACATTTGGAAGCAGGAAAGTGCCGGTGAAGATGGAGCCTGAACACGTGAGAAAAAGAGGAAGCATCTCCCGGGAATTCCCCGAGGGAGGAGGGGGAGCTGGGTGGAGAACATCAGTGGGAAAGCTGGCCTTGGACAGAGGAAGGAGAGGAGATGGGTATGCACAAAGAAACGGGGAAATAAGACACAGTTTGCGATACGGAGGAGGCAGGGGCTGCGGCTATCAGCTGGGTGGGAGGAAGGGAATCCGCCGAAGCAGAGAAGGCAGAAAATAGCTGCTGGACAGAGACGCTACTGTCGGGACACTCCTCCAAGTCACTTCTTCCTGAAGAAGTAGCTGGTGGTTTTTTTCCTTCCTCCCTCCTCTTCCCCTCTGTCCTTCCTCCCGGCCTTTTTAAGCC